TGAAACCTATCCCATAAATTGACAGAAAAAGTCCTAATACATGCATCCTCATCTAACAATGAAGACAAATATCAGTTTAAATGTATCATATCAATTCAATATTCATGAATAGAAAGTATGATGTGTCTACATTTTATTTTAGATTGAAAGATAGATCACTAGCTCAACAGATCAATTGATAAATAGATATGGATAGATAGATAAGATAGATAAGATAGATAAGATACCGGTAGATAAGATAGAAAGATAGAAAGATAGATAGATAGATAGATAGACATATCAATTTATGTTCCCCAAATTCCCTTTATCGTTAATACTACACGATGTTATCTTATTATTGGGCCTAAATAGCTCTCTAGAAAAAAAACATAGAACATGCTGACCTCGATTTTCTTCTGAGAAGACATTGATTTTGTTCATTGGCCCTGTCCAATAAGAAAAAATGCAGTTATATCCTAATAATTAAAGTTATTCATAAAACAGTTAAATTTATACGTCAAGTCACTCATTGGCATAATTATATTCAGAAGGGGGTCAATATCACCATGACCCCAACCCACTTGAGAGGATTAATGTATTATCTTAATCCTCTTACTTATGGCTGCTACTCAGGATTAGTATAGAGCAAATGTGTGTTTAGTGTCTCAGCTCCAATAACAGGGTGTGGACATTTTTGAGAATAGCTTTGAACCCAAGATCAGGGTCAGGTAGACCTGGTCCAGACGAGGACATTCAAAGTATACCAATCACCTGAAGAAGAAAAAAACTGTATTTAAGTAGAATTTGTAACATCGATCTTCAACAAAATTGCCTGGCATTTTATAGGTAAATGGTTAAAGCCCATCTAAAGTATTGGGAGCCCCAAAATTTGATGGCAGAATTTAACAGAATTTCAAATTGTATCATAATGTGAAAGAGGATGTCATTTAAGACACATTTCTGCAAGGATTTTCAAAACAAATGTGTTTGAAGTCGAATATTGATGAAAGAATACAAAATTTAAGTTCGCCCAGTACAACAGAAAACCTAAATTATGTATTCTTTTATCGATATTTGTCTTCAAATACATTTTTTTTGGGGGGGGGGGGTGGGGGGAATCTTTGCAGAAGTGTGTCTTAAGGGATCCGGTAACTTTGTCTTAGATCCTTTAGAAATAATCCTTGATTTAGCTCATGCTGCAATGATAATTATAAACCTTTAGGTCAGTCAGGAACTCCATGACTTTTACAAGCCGATCGCCTGTCTGATTATCAAGATATTAATGATTGGAGTTACAAATTTTAAAAACGGTTTTCATAACACTACAGTCTATTGGGGAAAACAAGTATGGTAAAACCGGTCACTCAAAGATTTTTACTTTTTTGAGGCACTTCTTGATCATTTTGAAGCGCGATTTTTTTAGGGCTTCAATATTACACCATATCACAGACACTGGTAACATGTAGGACCCTGTATCTCAGATTTAACATTGTTAAATGATCCCTTTAAATGACATCCTCTTTCATATTATATTTGAAGCTCATTATTTTATTAATTTGTACACTTCAAGAACAAAATGCACAAAGCAGGTCCAGGATTAATTACTAGGAACAGACAAAACCCTTGAAACAGGATGTGATGACCTAGTGCAAGATTGGAGGTTTGTCATAAAAATCAACTTGTGAAAAGAAAAAAAAACAGGCATAACAATCTACAGGAAGAAATGTAGTCACAAAATTGGGCAGTTATCTGAAAATTTGATGATAACGTACAGAGTTTGATTTAGAGGCCTGCTTAATCATGCACATCTCCTAAGCGGCTTTATGAAGATAAAAGAGGTAATTTGGTGTAAAGCCAGGGAAATAAATTAGTCAAGACCCTCTTTTCCTTCCCCCCCCCCCTGTCCCTCTTTTTCCCTCCATTTTCCTCTCTCTCTCTCTCTCTTTCTCTCTCTCTCTTTCTCTCTCTCTCTTTAATTTCCCCGACTACATGTACAAGAACTAAAAATGAAACTAACAGCAGAAAAGTTAAACAGAGGTGGCGCTGTTCAGTATTTTCAAGCAGAGGCATCTATACACAGAGTTTGGCCAATTTGGTTTCACTGGGTCACAGCATGGCGTATATATTTTTTTTGTACTTGCCCAACAAAGCAGTAGTCGCCATATTGCGTCCAACTCGAACCGGGTTGGCCGAACTCTGTGTATAGATGGCTCTGTTTTCAAGAAGAGTAATCTAGACACAAAGTTTATCCAACTCAGTGTTATGCTACGGTCACAAAGGTTTGTACGAACGATTGAACGAATCTCTTTTTTTCCATTGTCTTCCTGAATTTCCATTGTTTGAAAATCGTTCGTACAGCGTTCGTATTGGCATTTGTGACCAAGGCTTAACTTCTATAACCTGGAGGATACTACCATGTTGGGGACAAATAGGCTCTATCTTGTTCCTTCATTGAACCCAAATGGCCAAACTCATGCCTGTCGACAGGCAGATAGATCTATTGAACTATTCTCAAAGCATTTAGAAATTTACCAATGGTACCAATGGTACAGCCATGGCCTAGAATTCTTCTAGATGGTCCCCAAGAACCAATTTGTTTCTGGATGTACTGTATGACTCTGATGAGGAAGGGCATCCAAAAATGTAGACCGAATTTTCCGTCTCTTTCGTTCGTTAGCCTCTTATTGGGGTAGGGTCGGCTCTCTCTTTAGAGACGGAAGCCGTTTATACACATGTCCTTGCTAACGCCACGGCCAGTCCTGGTCGTAGCGTTTTGCCCCCAAAATCCCCCAAAATGTCATTTTACCTCGAGCATGTTATATTGTAAATTAGGCCTAGGCTATAATAAATCAGTTCCACTTACCAACTTGACTGAAATAATCAGTTTAATAGTCCCTTTTTAGGAAATTATGGGTCAAAATCGGAATCCATGTTGAAAAAGATTTTCAAAATGGATTTCAATGGATTTGGATACAACAGTCTGCCGTTGCCAGGTCGAGCAAGCTCAAGGTCAGTCCGACCTAGCAACGAGCAACATAAAATATTGCGCACCGAACAGGCCCCGACAAAAGAAACACAAAGATCCGGCATAGGCAGCCGAACCCGCGCGTCCGGAGACTCTCCGGGAACAACACGCGAAAACCGGACACACGCCTAACCAAACTAATCATGTATCTTAATGTCTTTTTACATACAGAGGCAGATTCTGCTCAGGCTAAGGCACAAAATCTTAAGAGGACATTTTATTGAATGTGCCTCACTCATAGGCCTATCCCTCCGATTACCCATCGGCCCAACATTTCCCAAAACAATTTTTTATTTCATTTCATTTCATTTCATTCAGTTTCAGTTAAGTTTCTTTGATTTCACATAAAAAACATAGCATTAAACAAAATTGATATTCATGACTGAACAAATAAAGACTTTTCTACACAGCATATAAAGTTTGTATTGCATTTACAATAAATAACTTCGAAATTACATGTGAAAAAAGGGAACTTTAATAATAAAAAGTGTAATGAATTTTTGTTTAAAGGGGGACAAAAAGCAAGTGCCAAGCCTTGGAAAGTATATAGGCCCTATACAAACAATGAAAAGATTTGACCGAAGGGTGTATGAAAAAGAGAAGTAGGAAGAGAAGGTAAAGAATGTGAGTCAGAAGGAAATGAGATAGAAGAATATGTTTGTAGGCCTACACATTAATCCCGGATAAAAGTCCAGACATAATTTTATGAAAGGTAACAGCGGATTCGGGGCTCCAAGATAAGCTGAAGCACGCAGCTTTATGACTCCTTGGAATTACATACAAACCCAGGAGCGTACGCAGGGGGGGGGGGGGGGGGGGGGTGGGGGGGGGGGGGGGTGGGGGGTTAAACCCCCTTGAGTTTTTTTATGTGTATGTTTTTTGTGAACCCCCCCCCCCCCCCCCCCCCACTCAGCGACTTTTCGGCCGGCGCGACACGATTTTCAAATTTTCGGGAGCAAAATAATAAAGTTGAGTCGTTGCGAAATTTTGGGCCCGATTTTAACCCCCCCCCCCCCTTGAAAAAATCCTGCGTACGCCACTGTACAAACCCAATGAAGGCTTGGTAAGGCAGGACAGCAACACTGTTTCAGATTGTCAATGAGAACATTAATATTTGAATGGCAGAGAAATACACATATCATCAGCAAACAGATCATTTGTTTACTTTGTTGTAATATGTTTGTGATTACAAAATAAGAGCAGTAGCGGGTCTGATATTAATCCATGTGAGATTCCAAAGTCTTTATATTTGAGATTTCAGAATTAATTAATTAATTTATTAATTTACTAGTTTTTCAGAATTAAAGGTAGGCCTACTATGTCCCATTTGCAGCCAACCTCAAATTCTGTATAGAACTGAGGAATTATGAATATGTCATGTAATGTCCTATCTGTGAAATTTAAACGTTAGCAGTGTCCTAATATGAACCTGTTTGCTTGCTAGACTTTACTGTCAGACACTAAGTGACTGATTGGCTTTTTTTTCTTCTCTGGTAAAATGAGCTGTAAAGAGTACATGAGCATTTGTCTACATCAATAACCCACTTCTTGTGATGGCCAAAATTAAACCGATTGAATCTCTGTTTGCGCAGCATAAAACGTACGACCATTCGATACAATGGTCTGAAAATCAAGACTATTACTTATTGGCTCTATATTAGCCCCTAAGTCGATTTGACAACTAATAGTGGTTATTATCCCACTTGAAGACTTTTTCAAGCCCCACTTTCTTTAGGGAAGTTCTAAATTAGTGTTATCTTTCAAATGCCGTTGGAATTTAACCTTTTCATTTTTTTGGCCTGCAAATGGGAAATAGAATTCGAAGACTATTTGTATTTTCAGAGGTTGTGAGTCCATTGTATGATGTCTGTGAGCCCATTCGATCGAAAAATATAAGTTTTATAGCGCCATCTGTAGGTCTCTGATAGGTGAATAAACACAACCCGGAAGACGAGGTCAGCTTCAAGATTTCCCGCCACTTCGCGGGAACACATGTTTTGGTATTTACAATCATCGCATCATCACATCACATGCACGCCTAGTACAGGTTGCAGTTGTAGATCGTAGCAGACGTTGGCGTTCACTGGCTGTAGCTGTACGAATACTGTGTGCGGTTGTTGTTGTGTCCATTTAATAGTGTATCCATTCAAGAGTGCTACATTAGTAACATCACTTAAAGTAGAAGTTATAATTTATTTGAAATCTGCATGTGTGTAGCATCAACTTTATTATTCAGCTCGAACTCACCATTTCAGCTCGAATCACAACATTTTAGCTTCGAGTTTGGCCTGATCGACTCCGCTACTCAGCCATCATGTGGGTCATCGTCAGGACATTCGATTGCAAAAAGACGCTACGAATTGATGGACTGTCAAAACTGACAAAAATTGAACAGTTTCGTGAAAGATTGGTGGAGGATTTCAATGCACCTGTGGATCGACAACGCTTATTTTTTAGCGGAAAAGAGGTAAAAGAAAAGTGATTAGAATTAGACTAACGGCAAACGCCACTATTATTAAACTGACTAGATCTAGATCTAGACCTCTAGGCCTAACACTAACTTGTTAGGCCTAGATCTAGATCTACAGGCCTAACAACTTAACAAAAACAGTGGCAGTGATGACATGAGTTAAATTAGACTAGATCTAGCCTACTAATAGACATCTACAGTAAAGTAAGGAAATCATGAATTATGATAATTACAGGGCCAAATCACTAGGCAGAGAATATGGTTGTTAAATTAGATCTAGATCTAGATCTAGGTCTAGATCTAGACCTAGATGGTGGATTAGAATAGAAGTGATAAAATGAGTGATCAATATTCTAAATCTTAACCTTGGCACATTATCAGCAGTGTCATGAGAGATGAGAGTGAGACAGACAGTGAGTGGGAGACTGAGACTTGAGATTGTTTTTAATATTCGTGATCTGGAGAACTTGTAATTTATTTGGACCAATTAATTAGCTTGAGAGTCTATTAGATCTAGCCTAGATCTATATATTTTAAGTTGGACCTACGGACAGATCCAAGCCTAGTAAAGTAAAGTAAGTGCTACTAGGTCTAGTAGAATCTAGATCTAGTCTAGGCCTAACCCTAGTAGTAATGAAACATGGAACTTGTGAAAGTCGTACTGAACTTGAAGTTAAAGTTGAGTCTCTACTCTAGTTGAACAATAATTAATATAAACCAAGTCTATCGTTTTGCAGTAAGAGTTGCTGCTTTAATCTTTTAACTAATTAATAAAGGCAGGTAAATCTAAGTAAGTAGACTCTTGTTGATCTAGAGCTCTACAGAAGATTGAAAGTTGAGATTTAAAACTGCTAATACAGATTACAGTGGCCACTCAAAGATTAGTTGCCCTGTGCATTATTGTCTATGGGAATAAGAGAATGCAGTTGTCAACAGACTTTAACAAGTTTTTATTTATTTATTTATGCATGCATGCATGTTCACAATTCATTGAAGTTAACATGACATGAAAAATGAATATTATATAACAAATCATGTTCAATTTTACAATCCATTTGAATTAACTTCACATGAAAAAGATTATAACATTGTTTTATCAAAGACAAGTTGCAACTTATATACAGTTTAAAGAATGAACACACAAAGGTGATGATACATAAGCAAATAGAGCTTGAATCATTACAACACCTTTCAAATATATGATATATGACAAATAAAATTCCTAAAGTTTTGTAGTGAACTATTTACACAATTTAAGTTTAAGTCATCTTCTTGATGCTACAAAAGAGAAAAGTTTTTTTAAATAAATAATAGCAGGGAGAAAAGAAAGATTTTCTGCATTACTTGAAAGTTTTGATAATGATCCTATTTGTTTGGATTTTAATCGATGAAATTTGAATTTAATTGCATTGAATTCATGGACTGAAGGGGACCTTTAATTCTCTAGGTCCCTCAATCACCTTTTCTTAAAGGTTTTATTATGTCTACTAGTACTACTTCATTTTAATTGAATCGCCGAAGCTGAAATATATTCACAATGTATTTTTTCTCAAGACTATCTTCCAAAGTATTAAAGTAGAGTTGGTGAAACCATAAAAATCCCAATAAATTAGCTTTGAAATGATGCTCCTAGCCAACATATATTTAAACTGTGTTCCTTATAACTTCAGAGGCATCAATAAGAAAAGGTCAACAACTTTCAAAGATAGGCCCTACTTGTAAACTGAAAAATACCTTTCCCATTACTGAGTTTAGAAAAATTCTTGCTTCTGTCACAAACAGCACTAAGCCTAATTAGGTCTGCAAATCTTTGAAAGAAATCAATTACCTAACCTGTTCACAGGAGCTTTGCAAATACAATGAAAAGTGTGTGTTATTTAAACTTGCTCACTAATCCCCTGCACCTCAACTAATCAGTAAGAGTAATTCTGGGTGGGTTTTTTCAGAGACATTTCCCTGTTAAAAAAAACTTTCAAAGGGCTTTATAGTGAATGACATTGGCAATATGTATTCTTCCTTAGTTTCATTTATCAATTTCTGTGACAAAGTATCTTAAATGAACTTGTGTGAATATTTACCTTTATATTAATATGCATCAAGAAATTTTCATTTTTTGTCATTAAAAGTTTGGTTTTGCAATCTTGTAAGTGTTGCCAATTTGTGATTCTGTTGCTTCGTATTCCTTCCAAATTGTTATTTGATAACTGCATTGTGTACTCACAACAAAAGTGAATTTCAAAAATGTGAAATTGTTCTGGCAGCTATTGAATTTGTGAAATATATAGCTCACTATAAAAACAGATGGTAGTATTATTCAGAGATGGCGAAAGGGAAGATTAAATAACATCGACATCCACAGTACTATTTATCTGTGCTTTGCCAGCCATTTATGTTTTGTCAAGAAGAAACTTTATTCTTTATAAAATGAAGTACCGGTAAGATTTATTTTTGGGAAAGGATTTCTTGCTATTCGCTTGTTTAATTCACACACGTGTAATCATCAGGTAAATATCTTTATAAAGTAGCCCCTCAAAAACACATGGGAGCGATGAGTGATAAAGCACTGGAAAGCTAGAAAATAAGTCTGGTAAACTGAAAAGGAACCCTGGCCAAAAGTGGCAATATAATAATAAAATACTTAGGGAAATCTTACCTCAATAAATGACTTATTCTGAGAGATCTATTATATTCTTGCCCATTAATCTACAAGATTCCCCACCAAAGTGTTTGAGAGCTCTAAGCAGAGAGCAAGAAATGTACAGTTCTTCGGCACGGCATGGGCCCGCCATTTTCTTGATAACGTGATGTACCATGTGAAGTTGTTTATCAAGTACATGTATTAACATTTATGGATGCTTCCTTCCCGGGTGTGTGGTGATGAAGCATTTCATTCACCTGTTATTATCCTTTGTACTCCAATTGCCAGAACGCAAATCGCATTTAAATAAGTTGGTGCTCTTCTGGGATGGAGGTTTTCTCATAAATGATATAGATTTGTCAACTGCTATATTTTTAGTATGTTTAAATGAATTAGTTACAATTGTTCCCCTGTTATATATTTTTAATCAAATATATAATTCTCAGCTATGATTTGTCCTCATTGAAAAGTAAAGGTTTTGTTATTGATTTTAAAAGTCTTAAAATTCTAAATTCTAAAAGAGCTCTTGCAAACAAAAAAGCATTTTGTGAACACTGTTCTAAACAGTTCTATTTGAATTATTTGCCTCAATAAATTCTAAATACTGCTATCAACTCAAGAGTACAGTTTTCATAGTTTTCTGCCAAATCTATGGTTATTCTCTTATTATCCTTTTCCCTCTATACAATTCATATTTTATTCTGCGATTTCACCCTTTTCCCTCTCCTTTTCTCTTATCTCTCTTTCACACTGACCTACTCATATAGCCAGAAAAGAAATCAAAGAGTATTGAATGTTGATGATGAATATTATTTGACATTTGTACAAAATTCGGCAAAACTCTGATATTATTCACTAGTGGAAAAATATGACAATAACACCAGAAACTTCAGTTAGTATTGGAATTCAATTGTTGACTATCCTTGACCTGAGTTAATAAAATGGAGAGGGGGTGCAAATGGAGGTTGGGGACCGTTCACAAATGCAGTCAAATATCATCCATTTTATCCCCTACTATCCCTCAGAAGTCAGTGCTTCTTCATTATTGAAATCTTACTGAAATTGGAACCATTTGTGGATGGCTCCCTGTTCTTTGCGGTTAGAATGTGCAAAGTCCCGGGCTTTTATTTGGGAAGGGCTTGTTTCACCCCACAAATATTTCTGATTGTCGGTATGAAGCCATTTATAGCTGTATGGGCGATGAAAATGAAAGTAGCAGAGGCTCTACATGTATGACAAACCCACCTGTAACCCAGGTTTGCAGGCAGGTTTATTTTCCCTATTCACACAACAAATGTATGATCTACATGTACATTGAGTTGTCAAATTAATTTGTAAGATACATTATTGAAAGCTTTGAAGATTAGGCCTCCACATATATAGATAAAGGAAACTTAACCGCAAGAAATAACTGTGCTTATTCTGAGAGATTATTATATTCCTGCCCATTGATCTACAAGATTCCCCACCAGTGTATGAGAGAGACATAAAACAAGAATAATGTACAGTTTTTCAGTACGACATACATGTAGGCATTGCCATTTTCTTGATAACGGGATAGATTACATGAAGTGGTTTATCAAGTAAATGTATTCAAATTTATGGATGTTATAAATTAGGTCTTGGCTTAAAAACTGAAAAACTGATCAGAACTTGCTGTAATTATCAAAGCTTCGTCTTCATCAGATGTCATACAAGCCTTTCTCCTACTTCTTTATTACTGCGTTTAATTTGCTACCAAAACGGTAGTTTGGAATTCTTTTGGCTTTTTTGCTCTGATATCATTGTCAAACATTTAATAGAAGCATACACATGTTTAAGAATGAACCAAAAGTTTTCCCCCCTCCGTGTATCTCACTAAAGACCCCCGTGGGGGAGGCCCTTATTCACAAAAGCTGAGGTTCAATGACTCCACTCCATGTACAATGTTGCCATGGGAACAATGGATTTGTCAGGTCAAAGGTCACTTACTTTGAAGCCATAAGCTGATGGAGATGAGAGAGGAATTTAATGCCCAAGGGGAGGGACAAAATTATTCTGAGAAAGAAAGAGGAAATGTTTCCAAAAACGGGTGCCTCGATTGATTCACAGGCGTGAACTTTGTGATTCAATTTAGGTCTTTTTTGTAGTATTTTAGAACAGATTGAATTAAGGTATAGTATGAAAAGTATCCAGGCTTCAAAGTGCTCTACTGTGGGTGAAATCTATTGTCTCACATAAAGGTATGCCAGAATGTTGGGAAAACATGGGTACATTTCAACTGAAATTAGTATTGTAATAAAAAGAGTGAGCTCTTACACTGCTGAGAGCAACTATGTGGGCGTTTGGGAAGTTAAAAACATTGACAAAAGAGTTTGGT